AGTCTGCATATGCCAAGGCGCGCCCGCTTTCATGCACGGTTACGCAAAGGTGCATCACCTAAATGATATTGGCGTGCTGGAACTTGCCTGTGCGCATCACAGGGTCCATGGGCTACGGCCTTAACTCCCCAGCCTGCCGGTTTGCTCTCGCCTGACAGTTCTACCAAACCTTTATCCGTTCGCTGAGCCATTGTTGCCAGTACCGGCGCTCTTGCCTTTCCAGAAACCAAAAGCCAGGCAACTCAACCGACGTAATCACAATCCTGCGTCCTGTATCTATCAGGGAACTCTTTACCAGAAAAAGCAAACATTTATAAGATTACGTGGTTGAACGTGCGCTTCGTTCTAATCAAGACCCTGTTACATTGCAAAACGGGAACCGGCGGGAATACGTTACACGACAAACTAGCTTGAACCAAACCTGGAACTATCACCAGATATCTGACACAGTTTCTTTCACTACTCCTACAGCAGCTCACCAGATCAACCTACCGCTCAATTGACGTTAGGGTGGTTATTCGTCACGGTTCACTTACCAAAACTATGACTCGCGGAAGCATCACCTGCGACACTAGTGTCCCAAAAACACCGACGACGGAGCCAGCACCGTCCACGCTGACCTCGGCCGATTTCAAGACCCCTAAACCACCTCTTACCTCGCAGACAACTAAATCTCCACGCAGCCCATCAAGCAAATTCTCGTTTCAGGAGCAGCGGCGAAAATCGTTCTTGGAACATCTGAAACGATGGCACTTGAGCCACGAATCGAGTAATTTCTTTCAAGGAAAACTCAGCTTACTACCTTCCGAGCCTGAATACAACGAAAATCTGGAATTGGGTAGAAGTGTAACTTGTATTTTGACGGATTCGAGTTTTACGGACTATAGGAAGACGGTTGCTATTAAGCTTTTTGGACCGCAAAAGGACAGCGTAAACGGCAAGATAAGAGAACTGGGACGGGATATCAAGAGCAGGAGCATGGCTTTACTCAGCAGCGAGATGAAGCTCGCGGAGGACAAGAAAGAGGAGGCATGGCCGTCACCAGAAGCCATATCCGGCTCTTCAAACAGCTACTACAACCTCGTCATCCGCTTCGGCTCAGGATGGCTCTCAGCACGCGACTACTTCAACAGACTCTACTTCCGACACCTCGCTGCGCGCTTGCCAGGTCGGAGTAGCCACTGCGTCGCCAATACAGCAGACTACGTCTTCCGCGTCCGCTCACAAGCACTTGGCCCACCACCCTCAAAACGAGACACAGTACCCATCCAACCACTCTTCCACCAATTCCAACGCCTACCCACGGAACTCCAAGAAATGATCCTCATGACCGCCGCCGGACTTACCCGCGACTACGACCTCACCAACGACGCGCGCAGGAACTGTGCCAGAGCCTCCGAAAGAGCCATCAGTTTATCAACCCTACTACGCATCTCGCGCGGCATCCACGACACAATGCGCCCATACATAATGCGCAGCACGACCTTCCATTTCGGCCTCAGCGGAACGACAAACTTCCTCTGGCAATGCGGCCCGACTTATCGTCCCCACATTAAACGCTTGGCCTTCCATTTCGGGAAGAATGCTTTGCTTCATTGCGTGCGCTGGTTAGCCTCTGATGCGATTTTCGAGTTCCTAGAGCCGCCGCAGCCGAATGGAGGGACTGGGTTACCGCTGTTTTGGCGCTGTCAGTTGAGAGCTCTTGCCAAGGAATTGCATTTGCGGGAACTTGTTATTGATATTGAGGGGATTCCGAAGGCGGATGTTGCTATGGTGGTTAGGGTTATGAAAGATGCGTTTGGGGGTGTGGAGAGGGTGAAGTTTGTGGAGGGTTCGCCGCCTGGGAAGACAGAGTTTGTGGATATGAGGGATGAACGGTTAGCGGGCATCGGCAAGGAGACTTGGAGGGAGCTGGTCAAGGGGTATATCGGGAGGTATGAGCGCCAGATTGGGTGGCATAATTGGCATTTTAAGATGGATTTGGTGGGCTTGAAGGAGCATGAGCTGGATGCTTTGATGGATAAGGAAGCGGAGTTTTTTGATAGTTGATATAGGGGAAATGCATCGTGATGGTGTTATTGGTATATCTTGGGGCTTGGGGGAATACGGAATAGAAATCTGGCGAGTTCATGGTAAGCTTAACCAACGGTAGAAATATGGCTTTGTGGTCTGCTGATGGTACCCGCACGTACGAGAAATGTCGTCGAGCGAGTGATGAATTTTGGACGAGAAAACCGCACACCTAGATTCCAATTTTAGTCTAGTCTACGTCGCCTCCACTACTACATTTCTTTTTCCGGAAGAAGAATTACCATTGCTTTGTGCGTCGTATCAAAAGGATGGTGTTCACACCACTATTGCTTTGTTTCGGCAGTTGACAGTCAAGGTACTTGCACCTGGGTACGCAAATTGAGACATTGGCGATAGAGGCTTTCAAGGTTCTTCGTGGAAGGCATAGTGGATTCAGTACGCGTAACATTTTAAAGTTTCATCGACACCCAGGCTGAGCCCAACATTGCCCGCTGCCAGCCTCATTACCGACCCTCCGATGCTTTTCGAGTTCGTGAGGCGACCTCGCGAGGGAAGCCCAGGTGACCGCCGCGAGCGGCTAGCGCAACGGGTCCCTGCACGGAAGCAGCGGCAGGCGGGAAGACGACAACTCTAAATACCTAGTTCCCGGAGTCCTCTTCTTTGTATCGACATCAAAATTTCCGAGAGCATTCGTCCGCATGATGGACTTTTGGCATCCTACTTCACACTCATGACGAGTGGCTGCCTTTTCTTTCTCTACTCAGACGATCATACGCAAGACGACCTCGAGACTCAACCTTGGAAACTGCAACCCGGCAGCACATGACACGATACAGTCACACATCTTCTGTGCGACAGTTAAACGTCGTTGTTGCTATCGCAGAGTCATGCAAGTCGTGCAAGAAGAAGTCATGGACGGCAAAACATGACCTCGTCACTTGCGAAATTGGTGAGATAGATTGTAAAAGTCAAAATGTCATTGGTAACGAGCGTAATTGAGTGCAAACTCCGCAAATGTATGTAAATCTCCTCTCACAAGGTTTCTCAAGAGGCCGTCTTCTAAAATCCCCACTTGGCAATTTTCTTGTACGACTTGTGCTTGACGCTGGTAGTGCGCTTCGCGACGCTCATGCGCTTCACGACAGCGCTCTCGTCTTCGTCCACATCCACACACCCATCAACATCCTGCGAGGAGCAGAGCGGCGTGAGAGTCTTAGAGCCCATATCGCAGAAGTTGCCATGTGCGTCGACAAAGTCCGGTCCCCAAGACGTGGCAGATTCACAAAGTCCCTTCGCTGAGTGGCTTGCAATGTTGGACACGACAAGTGCCTCGGTCATCCACTGGGGACGCTCCGAGACACTACGCTTGGCGCCAGGTTGGTCTGAACACAAAACGTTAGAGAAAATACTTGCGCGGTAGGCATAAGGGGATGACTAACCAGCGATAGGGCCACTGTCTGGTCCAAAGATCGTGTATGTACATCCTGCGTTGCTGCTCGCGGTGTCGTTGACGTTTTCACCGTACGCGGTGGTATCGAACTTCAGAGAAGCAGCCGCAATATCGTTGGTATGGTCTAGATGCGAAGTCAGTGTACGTACCACAAGTGTGCCATGGCCGTCATTTACCTGCATCGATCCAAGTGCACCTGGGAACGTAGTCGCCACCGTCGTCTAGGCGTCCCGCTACCTCGACGCTCTCGTACCAGGATTGGCCACAGACTGATCCAATATCGCCAGTCCATGCACCACCGAAAGTGCCGTCGAACTGCGTCACGGTGATCCAGGCAATACATGTCGCGTCATCGTTGTTCGAGATGCTGACGTATTTGGCTCGTTGGCCCCCAACCCCCGCGTCAATGGTGCGGTCGCAAATTCCACCAGAACCGATATCACAGCCATCAGCTTGGCCCTGATATCCGTTTACCTGGGAGAAGGAATAGACCTTGTTGATCGAGCCGGACTAACCTCTTGTTAGCAGCGGATTCCATGTTGTCCATACTAGCACATAGCACTCACAAGACTGTCTCCGTCGTTACCAAGGTCGGGTAGACCGGCTACAAGAGTAAAGAGTGTGTCAGTAAAGACCATGAAGATATTAGTCTTCTTGTAATGCTATACCTTTGATCCGGACAGTTGCACCCTCTGGTGCTGATCCTGGGACGTTGGCTTCGAAAAACCCAACCGTAGTCAATGCGTCAGCCACGAGCCCAATGGCTGTGAGAACCGAGGCAGCCATGTTGAAACTTGCGCGAAAGCTGATTATATGATAGTTGTTCAAAGCCGTTTAACTGAGAGGGAGAAGTCCGGTTTGGGTGATGAGTGCTTGGTTCACAGAAGGACTTTTTATATCTCTTCGGCTTGAGCAGTGCTTGTTGCTATCCATGACACTATGGAGCCATGGTGACATTTCTCCGGAACTTCGGCATGCCATCGTAACATGTCTCAAATCGAATAGCAAATCAGAACTTCGTTGACAACATGTGCTCGGCCCCCAACTGTTGCCAATACTTTATCCATGCGAAGTGGAGGTTCGGCTTGTTCACTTTGTCAGCCTGTACGAACATTAGGTATGCTGCCTATGATATGGCCGACCTTTGATTTGCCGTAGCCTCCTGGGTATCTCATCCTTCTAAGACACTGATGAACGCAAATATCAAGACCTTCCCGAATGGTAATGTTGAGTGATGTCGTCTTACCGGTTAGAACAGTAGTCTGCCTGGGAGCTGAAGGATCGCTAGAAAACCGGGGACTAACGAAGAAAGTAGGAAAAAGCGACACAGATACGCCTTGTCATCCCCCCGGAAGCGCCGGTGGAAAGCAACTAATCTGTGATGGAGGTCGAATTGCCAAGTCCGCGGGACAGTTATAAGCCACCTCGCCCACCGACTCAATGCTCAGCAACACCTTTCTCTATCAGCTCCACTTCTTCTTTCGAGACAAGATCGACCACTCGACCCCAACAAGCCACCATGAAGCTCTCACTTGCCCTGATCAGTACTCTGCTTACGAGCTCCCTCGCACTTTCGGTCAAACGACAAAACGATGTACCCTCCTGCGTCAACGGCGATGTTGCCGACAGCAACGGCGGTCCATACGAGGGTGGTATGTAATAGCAACTGCCGGCTTCGGTCCCTTAGGTAAAACAAGCTGACACCCTATGTTTAGGCGCTGAATGTGAACAAGACTGCTACTTGACTGAACAGGAAGGGGACAGAGTCGATCAGATTTGCAAAGGGTACTGCACTGGAACACCGCTCGTGACAGGAACTGTTGTGTACAACTGCTATGGAAGTGGCTGAAGCGTGCACGGAAAGCCTTCTGGGGCGGACTTGTTGGAAACCCATTGTGTCAGAGCATTACATAGATACTTTTACACACCAACCTTCAATGGATGACTTCAACTTAAGCACCGCATAAATGCTTGTCTTCCGGGCGTACATGCTTATCCCTCGTGCGTGTACCTAGCATAACTATGTGTCAAGACGTCATCTTCTCGCCAATCTCTATATGAGATTCGTTCTTTACTATGAGTTCGTAAGGCTCGACCGGCAATACGGCTTACGCCCGAAACTCATCGACGAATGACAAGGCGCATGGTTGAAGCGAGATCCCCACACAAAACGCCCCGCAGAAGATTACCCCGGAATACACCGCGGACGTTGGATCAAAGTGTTGTGGTTTATAGTGGTTAAGGTTAGCTGCCGCCGTGACTAATCGAAGCAGGCACGTGGTGGTTGTGGGGGCTACATAAGGCGCCCCGAGGCACCCCGTGCGGGTCTTGGTAAACACCACTACCAAAATCAGACAATGATCGGGACGACCGTGCCACCCAACCCCGCCTCAACGTCGCAACGCTAAGGAAGAATATGTGCGTTGTTATGACCCAGCGATGTCATTTGGGGCGTACATGAGTCGGGTTTTAAGAGAGGACGAATGACGACAGTGCTAAGAGCAGCTGCAACCGACGAATCTACGCGACCAGCGACAGCTTCAGACACTGGAAGCGACAAGGAAACGTTCCGTTCCAACCGATTAGCCGGTGAGATGGTCTGAGCCCTTACATGCAATAAGCCGCAGTGTGACACATGACGAAATGTCCCATGAGTATGCCTTACTCTTGGCAAGAAGCGGATGGCCTTATTATGCAGCGATGTCTGGAGATGGAGTACAAACACCCTAGCCGCCCCCCACGCTCGCATCTACTGAGATCGGACTCGTTCAGAACCGCATCCAGACTTGATAATTCTTGCTGTTTTCGAGACTCTCCCTAAACCTTTTGCTTCAGCATTTCCAATGCAGCTCTTCCAAGTCATCAACAGATCGGCGTTTCTAGCCTTGCTTTCTTCTCCCTTCTACGCACATGCACAAGCATCCCAGAACGCAGATGGGCAAGAACTAAGCCCATACAAGTTTGTGCCCTCCCCATGTATCGGCACAAGTCAACTAACCGTTCGATAGTCAGAACCTGACGCTCCGTTTCTTCAAGGATGGCCACGACGACACGTGTAACTACTACGACTCCCGCGACGCCTTGACCTTCACTACGAGTAGTATTCCCATCGTCCCGCACTGTTTCAGTCTTGGAGACCTCTTTGGTGGAAACGCCACGCAGGGCTTTGTGAACCAGACATGGAACCTCGGTTCTAACAGGTTTGGTGACGAACAAGCGGGTATATACTGGACGCTTCTCAACGCCGACAAGTACGACAGATCAGCAAACTACTCTCGGGTCCTATACCGCCACCATGTAGTGCAGGCTTATGACGACATATGGAAGGAGGGCCATCTCTCAAATATGATGGCTACCGTCTACGGAGGGGAGGACTGCTCTGAACTCGATCCTAACGATGACCAAAACTTGCTGAATTGGTTTGGGTACAGCTGTTGGAGTGCTGATGAGGGTGATTGTGGCAATACACCTTACCCCCTCAATAGTTTCAATCTTGCCTCAGTCGACCAGAGGTCAGACCGCAAGTGCTGGTTGCATTCGGAATTGGGCGCGGCTGTGCATGGATTCTCGTCTTCTCGGGCGATAATGGGAGCTTTCGCGAGTGTATCTCTAGCTGTCTGGCTGGCCTTGTAAGGTATCTAGATGTTGACAGGAGAATTTGTATAGCTAGACATTGAAGAACTCAACCTCAAGCGCAAAAGAAATGATTAAGGCAGAAAGTGAGCACACGGCATTGTGACTGTGCCACAAGTAGGGCCGGACTGCTTTCACCAGCGCGGATCCAAAGATTCCGGAAACGTGTTGCAGAGTGACCAGAAATCATGATAAAGGTAAGAAGTTCGGAATGTCATTACGCCTATGTATGCCCAGCCTTTTGAACCCAGTGTCCAAACGCCAGCAGAAGAAGAACAAGTAGACAAGACAGATATACCGCTGCCGCTGCCCACATCAAACGCCGTGACTATGCAAAAAAAGCCCAACACGGGGGTAAAACGCCAAAACTATACACCACCACAATCCCAGCATCTACCCACTCCCATGACTTCTCAACTTCCGCCCAGCCGCAAGACCCGGACCAACGCTATTACCGAAATTCGTAATATTCTCCCTATCACCACGGTCGCCAGCAACGCCAACCGTCTTCCTCGTCATCTTCTTCATCGGAAGCTTGCTCGTATCATCGCCATTGGTTCGCGCCTTCTTATTCGGAGGGCCGCCGTTCAGCGAATCGCAAGAAGACTGGGATGCGAGATGGGGAAGTGGCTGGGTATGAGCTTCCTGCGCCACCACGTTAACATCTAGCTCCCGTAGGGAAGAAGGGTTGCCTGTGGGGAGGTGCGAGATGGTGTGGGCGTGCGCACTGATGGAGTGCGAGAAAATGGGCTTCTTGCTCGTGTCGGCGAATATGTCGGTTGGAGAGGAGAGGTTGAGCGTTCCTGTGGCGTCGTCGAAGATGGGCTGTTTCGAAGGGCTGCGCGTTGTGGTGTCGACGGGTGCGGGGCGGTCTCGAAGACGGGAGAGGATGTTCTCGTGTGCTTCGGTGCGTGGGAGGGTGGAGGGGATGGTGTAGGAGACACGCTGGGGTGTTTCGCCAGTGGGGTTGTATTCGATCAGGTTCTGGGACCCGACAACCTCGCGAAGCTCGTGCAGTGGTGCACGAATGTCCGCATCTGCAGCAAGCGCTGGTAAAGTGTCCTTCAGTGTGTTCGCTTGTGCTGACATGTCCGATTCGAGAGACTGAACGCGATCGAATGAAGTGGATAGATGATCACCGATGCTAGAGTATGAAGCTGCCACTGTTGACGACAAAGCAGCCAGCGATGCTGTATGGGCGGTGTGATGGGTGTTGTTCTGTTCACGGATGCGGGCTACAATGTCATCCAAGGATTGAAGCTGAGTGTCCAGGTGTGCCATCTGGGCCTCAACAGTCTTGACCGTGCTCTCGTGGACGGATGTGGTCGTGTCTTTGATCGAAGTGGAATGTTGGGTCGCGGCTGCAAAATCAGACTTGATCTTGGTCTTGACGGCATCTCTTGACTTGGATACACCTGCCAGAATGTCTCTCGACTTATCCGACCATGCAATAACGCCATCAGCATAAGCATCTTGCTTCGTCTCGAACGCAGCGTTGGCGGCGTTCATCTCCTCTCGTACAGCCGAAAGCTTCTCGTCTAACCTCTTCTCTTGCGCGTCGGCGTTTGCGTTGATGATGGCAGTAAGCTGTGAGAGCAGTTGTTGGCGGTCTTCGGCCGACTTCTGTTTCTCTTCGTTCACGATCTTCTCAAGTTGGCCCTGAGATGTCTTGTTCGCCTCGACCAAGGCCGCGTTGGCCTCTACGACCTGTTGGTGTAGTCGCTCGTTTTCGATTTGCTGGTCGTTCAGATCCTTGACTAGATCGTCAAAGGTGGTCTTGAAGTCTCGGCCGAGCCCCGCATAGGACGCGTGGACTTGCGTGTGGAAGGCGTCGAGTTCCGTGATGATGTTCGCAGAGATTGTCTCCGCCGCTGCCGAGAGCTCATCGAGGCCTGCGCCGATCTTTGTCTTGACGTCTTCTCGAAGAGTCCTGATCTCCTCCAGAACTTCATTTATGTGGTCGCGCGCTTGAGCTGTCTGTCCGTTGACTTCTTGTTCGGAAGTCTGGTATGCCTCCATCTTTTCCTGTAAGAAAGACTGCGAGGCGCCAAGCTGCTCAAGTTCATCTCTGACAAAAGCTTGCATACGTTCTGATATCGCGTTCATCAGCTGTTCTTGCTGTTGCTGAAGCTCCTCTATCCGGTCCTCAACTATACGGGTTGTGTCGACAACCTGAGTCTGGGAGGAATTCCAATTCCGTCGGTTCTGCGATTGGAGTTCTGATTTCCGTCGAATCTTCGACCGTAAACCGTCGATAGCTGATGTGGTCTTGCCGAGTGTTGAGATCATCTCTTTCCCAACCTCTGCGAGCTCTTGCTCAGTCTTCTGATGTGCCTTTCGCAATTCCGCCTCTTCGGTAAGGTTTTGACGCGTGTGCTCCAAAACAATCTCTGTCTTCTCTAAGATACCCTTGGTACCGTCCAAAGCTAGTTGAGTTTGTTCGTTGTCTTTTTTCAATGTCTGGAAGTTTGTCGTGAGTTTGAACAGATCCTCCACCTTGTTGCGCAGGTTGACCTCCATGGTCTCAAGGCGGTCGCGTTGTTCCTCGCTAAGGATTCGTCTCGATTCGCTGACTGTTGTGATCTCCTCGTAATTCTCCTGTGTAAGATAGACACCGTTGCGCTGCCGGGTCGCTATTAATTCGCTTTTTAGCTTCTCGATTTCGGCTGTGTACTCCTTGAGCAGGGTCTTCTTGTTGATGGCCTGGTTCATTTGCGGCTTGTTGCGAATATTCTTCGCGCGGAATGCGTAGTCGAGGGTGGATATCGTCTCTTCGAGGTTGCTCTTCGCTGGCGACAAAGTTGCAATGATGCAAGTCTTTGTTCGACCACCCAACGAGTCTTGCAGCAAGCGGGTGAGTTTTGACTCTCGGTACGGGATATGCGAGCTGCGTTCGACGAGTGCGTTGATAACGCGACCCAGTGTTAGCAAACTCTTGTTGATAAGACCAGCCTCTGCTGCGCGCTTGTTCTCAGCACCACTGCGCTGAATGTTCTCACTACCCGCGAGATCGACGAGGTTGAGCTTTCCGGCGCTCAGGTATTCCTGGCCATCTTCTGTTGTTCGCTTGATGTAGACGGTAATGGTGAAGACGGTATGACTTCGCGAACTGAGGTCGTTGCACTTGGTCGCAGCTACTTGTCGCTTGTGGCTGCCGTTGCGCAGCATTGTGATACCCTCGGCAGCAGTCTTGAGATGGCACTCCTCCATTCCCTGGACCATGGTCGTGGTAGAGCCCTTCTTGCTGTTATCGTCGTAGATCTTCAGCTTTGTCGCGTCATCCGGTGATAGCAAATCGCGAAGTTCTTCGTTGTAAAGTTCGATGAAAGAGCATTTGACCGAGTTCTCGATTTCGTCGGTCTCGAGGCGTTGGAAGAGCGCGTACAGGACGCGTGGAATGATACCGGCGGCATCTGGAAGAGGGAGGACGTTGGAAATGTCACCAGTCATGGTGTAGGTCTTTCCTGTGCCGGTCTGACCGTATGCGAAGATTGTGCAGTTGAAGCCGTCGACGACCTAGACGTCCATTAGCGGAGGTAACCACCAACCTCTCGTTCGAACTCACTTCATCCAAAATGGGCGCAACAACTTCGTCGTACATCATGGCCTGGTCGGCTGCCGGAGAAAAGACCTTGTCAAACTGATATGTCTTGTTGCTCAGCGCACTCGGACCCATGGACAGGTCTACAGCTGTGCCCCTGATTCCGTTGGTCGACACGACGACGCCGCTGTTCTCGCGTACTTCGCGGTCATTGCGCCCTCTACACCGGACGACAACGTTGATGTTTGTCTCTTCTCCTCCCTCGCTTTCGAAGTCTATTTTGCGCTTGAGGGGTGATGACCGTGGAGCTCGCGCCGAGGAAGCTACTGATTCGGCTCTCGATGAGCGGCCGTCCATGGCGGGTGTCGCTGAACGGCCACGCGCCAGATGGGGCGGGCGCGTCGTGGGAGGTCGCATGCTCGTGGTATT